GTACACTTCGATTGGCAGGTGAAGCACTCTGGGCAGTATTTTTCAAGAATGTAACTATTTTCCTTCCTTGGCCCTGCCTCAGAGGAGAAGAAAATGAGTAAGGTTTTTCTAAGTGGGCATGAGACTGTGTCAAACAACCATCTTTGTTAACCTATGTGGCATACATAAAATACCACAACTATCTCAGAAAATTCCTAGACAGGTTGGAAACAGATGTAAAACAAATGAGTATTACAATGAGCCAACACTGAGGGAAATTAAATGATTAGATTCTCCTGCCTTTCTATTTACAGTCTTGATTACTTCTCCAAATTAAGACAAATAATATTTCTCCCCAAACCAAGAAAGTCCCTTGTTTTTCTTGCTATATGGAATTTAAATTAATGTTTCCTATTTTAGTATTAGTAAATTATACATGGAAATATACAATAAACAGCGTGTGCCTTTTTTGTTGTGTAGGCTTTGAGAGGCAAGGGACATCCCCTACCCAGTCATGCATTCCCTCTCTCCTGAAGATTTTGGAAATTGTTTGAAAGATAATTTTCATAAGACTATAGAATGCAAAAATAAAATATCATCAGCTGAAAACTGAATTTTGAGTTTTATTTTATAATGTTTCATAATTTTATGCTCTACAGCATTTATTTAATGCTTTCCACAGACAGTCTAGAAAACTGTTTCATTTATTCTCTGCTTTTAATATCATTTGGAGAGTCTTAACACACACGGGTTTTCCTAGTTTTGTAAGTAGCCAATGTTGATAATAACTAAAAGACAGCTTTGGTAGATAGTCCAGTGTTTCTTGTTACACATTTTCAGTGTGGTACACACACACACACACACACACACACACACACACACACACACACACTGAAAATTATCACTTACAAAGTAACCACCACGAGTTTCATTTGATTCTCCTTATGTTGGCATTTTAGAAATCTAACGATAACTAACAATCAATGCCTCATATGGCAGAACCATTGCTTAGAAGCATTTTTCATACTGTAGTGTATTGACCCCATGCCTTATATACCTATATCAAAGGACCCAGAAGTAAGCTATTTCATCTCCATATATCACAGCGTTTTGCTTTTGAACTGACACTGTGGAGCACTTTCATATTCAAGCACTAACCTGGGTTATTTGAATATGTATCTGATATAGTGAATGATTGTTCTTCATTGATGTGAATTAGAAACGATGAATTTCTTTATAATAGCAACACCAGTGAGCTCCTGAAGGGGAAGCACACCTATTTTTAATTTATTTGTACTTTGTGCTTATAGGACACGTACTCTAAATGAGGTAGAGTACTCAAGAGTTTATAGATTATATTTTTCTACTAAATCTCGACAACTCTGTAAAATTGAAACCAGCATGCTTTTGTGTAGGAGCGCGGGATTATACAGTGTGTAAGCAGTAGAGGTGTGATTCAGCCCATGCTTCCTAATTTCTAATCTCATCCTGTAGTGGCATCTTCATACATATTTCACTGTTTAGAAATATCTGGGGATAGAATAATAATTTATAAACAAAGAAAAGAACTCTTAGAAAAATATCAGTGCCTACTAGAAATTATGCTTATATGTAAAAACACCATTTTTATTGTATGAAAAGAAACCATAAAGTATTTAAATGAGAGGAATACTAATACACCACTCACTTTTAGCCATATCAGAAATAAATTCAATGAATTGGCAAGGTAAGTGAACTATGCTGATTATTATTTTATTTCAAGAAGATTACATATATATACATATATGAATATATTACATATATATAAATCCCTTGTTATTTAAAAATAACCTTTCTCTTAAAGCTACCTAAGAATGTCCTTCAAAATTATAGAAAGCAAAATCCAGCATTAACAAGTATCTAGAGTTAATATGGCTAGCATGTGAAGCAGTAATAGAAAGTATATGGGCCTAAACTGATAAAATGCCCATGCCCATCAATTATCAGATTGTTTCTTATTGCAACTAGATATCATTCAAGAGTTATAATTATGGTGTCTAATGGACTTCAGAAAATGTAGTGTTTAAATCTTAGTTGGTATTCAGTTCCTCATCTGTTTACCTTGACTGTTACCAGGCAGTGATTAAGATCTGTGTTTATGAGTACATCAGCATTGTCTTCTATATGGGACTTTGATTACAAATTCCTCAGGACTACAGAATTGGCATTGAAGCAAAGCTTAAAAGACTAGAGAAGCCTCTACCATTAGGCTAGAGATTTGTTGCCAAGACCAAGTGTTCAAAATATTCAAAGCCAGTTTTCCAGAGTGAAGAATAATTACAGGTGTCCTAAACTAGGACAGTGGTTGCAGTCATCAAGGAACAATGAGGATGCCAGTGTAGCCACACAGAGCAAAAGGGAGCATGTCAGACTTTTAGGGTATTGACTATGGGAAGATAAAAGGATGTTGGTCTACTTGGTGAAGATTACAAAAATGCAGGGAAAAAATGATAGTATTATACCTATTAAGCCATTGATGGGTAGTGTGTAGTTGTTCAAGTAATGCTAAGTGTCTTAGAAGGAGAGATTAAAAAGGCATTTGTACCTGAGAGCTAAGTTTAAGGATAAGGCATGAATTGAGATTATGCATTTAGACACCTTCATAAAATTGTAATTGAAAGGTTTGGGATGGAAAGAAGTTTCTTTGGAAGCAAGTATATGCTGTCAAGATGATTGGGCCAAAGAAAGGCTTATTAAAGATCCCAAAGAGGATAAAAAATAAGATGAAATGAGACTGAGAAACCACATAGTGTGGTTTGTCCAGAGACATGAGGAGGAGCCATGTCCTCAAAGCAGACTGAGGTATGAGTTTAAGAAGTAGGAAGTCTGCCTCTTCTTCCATCAGCCACTGAATGAAGGTTCTGTTTCCCAGACTCTCTGGCCATGGGATTGTAGGCTGGCACTCCCCAGATCTATGTCTAAAATCCATATATGAGAGAGTACATGCCATGTTTCTCTTATTGTGACTATGTTACCTCACTCAGGATGGTTTCTTCTAGTGTCATCCATTTGCCTACAAATCTCAGGATTCCATTGTTTTTTCTTCTGAGTAGTACTCCATTGTGTAAATGTACCATATTTTCTCTATCCACTCTTCGATTGAGGGACATCTAGGTTACTTCCAAGTTCTGGCTATTACAAATACTGTTGCTATGAACATAGTGGAACAGACATCATTGTTTTATGAATGGGCATCTTTGGATATATGCCTAAGAGTGGAGTTGCTGGGTCTTGGGGTAGGTTTATTCCCATTTTTCTGAGGAATCTCCATACTGATTTCCAAAGTGGCTGAATAAGTTGGCACTCTCACCAGCAATTGAGGAGTGTTCCCCTTTAACCACATCCTCTCCAGCAAAAATTGTCATTGGTGTTTTTGATTTTAGCCATTCTGATATGTGTGAGATAGTATCTCAGAGTTGTTTTGATTTGCATTTCCTGGATGGCTAAGGATGTCAAGTGCCTCTCAGCCATTTTAGACTCCTCTATTGAAAACTCTCTATTTAGTTCTGCAGCCCACTTTTTAATTGGATCCTTTGGTGTTTTGGATACTTGCTTCTTGAGTTCTTTGTAAACTTTGGAGATCAACCCTCTGTCAGATGTGGGGTTAGTGAATATTTTTTCCCATTCTGTGGGCTGCCTTTTTGTCTTGCTGATTGTGTCCTTTGCCTTACAGAAGCTTCTCAGCTTCAGGAGGTCCCATTTATTAATTGTTGATTTCACTGTATGTGCTCCCACTGCTAAGTACTGACCTGAACTCAAAAAGCCAGTAACAGAGAGGGAGGACTGATGAACAAAGGGATTAAGACTGGGCTGGTTTAACCCCCAGAAACAGCTGACCTGACAATGGTTAACTCTTGAATCCCAGGCTGGTGCCTGGGAATCCAGCATGGGACTGATCAAGACCCCCTGAATGGGAGTGTCAGTGAGAAGGCCTAGGTAATCTATTGAGCCTTGGGCAGTAGATCACTATTCATCCGGAGTATACACATGGACTTTGGACTCCTATCCAACAATGTGAGATGCAGTCTCACTCTGAACTCTTGGGGGAGGGTCTGAGCCCTGCCCTGGATGACAGACTGTAGACACCCCCATGGAGGGCCTCACCCTCCCTGGGGAAATGAGGGGATATTGGTGGGGCTTGGCAGGAGAGCACGGGAGGTGGGGAGGGAAACAGAGAGGGACCTGGAACTGACTTGTGCAGCAACCTTGTTTCTAATCTAAATTTAAACTTAAAAATAAATAATAAAAAAAGAAATAGGAAGACATTTTTTCCTGTCACAAGCTGTGGTTTAGGTAGAGGAGAACACCATTCAGTGTATCAATGAGAAGCTTATTGAAGATATTAATAGAAGCTGAGCAAGAGTGATAGTTGCTGATTGGTTTAAAAAGGTAAGAAAAGAGAAAAGAGAGAAAAGAGGCAAGCAATTCTTATTCTGTATACATACTCACACACATTATATGTATATTTACTTGTTCTTCTCTTTGTTTCATTATTGGAACAAAAGAATTAGAAGGAGTAGAAACTGAATTTCCCAATACATATAGCCCCTAATATAACACAATAGCCTCAAAATTAATCATTCAGTTAAAAATCATTTTTAGTTCTGAGTATATTTATAATACTATTTTTAATTCTTATCAAAATTCTTTAAATTTTAATCAGTTTATTCTATTTTTAATAAAGCTAATAAATTGTTATAGTTCTTACATAATTTTGATACTGGGTGTGTCTGGATCATTCCAGTTTTGATCTCTTCCCCATGTTTCTTTAACTGATATAATATTTTGATCACAATGCTATGAAACACATTGATTTGCTGAAAGAAAAACTTTGTGTTTTTGAGAACACATTCCAGATTAGCTAATTGGGACCAAGTTTATAAACGTGGAGGCCTTTTAAAAGATTCCCCTTTACCCATTTCTGCCTCTTAATTTCAATATAATTTATCAAATATATTTCATATACTTTTTCTTTTTTACAGGAAAGACAATCATCAGCTAAAAAGGAAAAGGGCAGCTCCCAGCAGCCCAATAAAGTGACAGACAAGAACAAAATGCAAAGAGCTAACTCTGTTACTATGGATGGACAAGGTTTGCAGGTAAGGGTTCCAAAAGTCCAAATTACTTTGTTACTTTCTTATTCTGAGAGGGCATATGTTCAGTTATCAACACATTCTTTCATCATTTATATTATCCCACTAGACTTCTTTGGAAAGATCATTATTAATTTATCAAAATGTCAGTCTTAAACTTGATTGACAGAATGACATTCTGGTTAGATTAATCATTTATAATGTTATCTCCATTTAAAGTGAAATTGGCAAAAAAATCTTCTGTGAGCCTGAAAGTTAGAACTAATATATAACTTTATTTTGTACACATGTGTTATTTATACCTATTATCTGTCTCTATCTAGTTATAATCATATAGACACACACACACACGCACACACACACACACACACACACACACACACAACACACAGACATGTGATTATTTCATGCACATGCTGGGTCTGATTTTGAAGAGCTAATAAACTGTGAGATTATGCCTTTAGAACAGAAAGAATGCACTCTGTGTAAACAATTTTCTTTTAAATAAAATAATAAAATGAGATAATAAGTTAATATATAAACATTTCTACATTTAAGCTAAATTCAAATACCATACATATTTCTAGGTTAGACAAAGAGAAGTGGCTGAAATTTTTTTAAATCTATGAATTCTAACTGTGACCTCTGACACCAAAATCCATCTCATCCATCTATTTAACTAATTTCCTCACGCTAACAAAAAAGAATATTTGTTAACAACATCATTTTAATCTATAGACCTGTGTGATTATTTCATTTTTTCATCTACATGTTTGTCTTCTTTGTATTTCCTTCTCTTCCTAATGTATTTGAAGCTTCAGCCTTCTCAGCAACTGCTCACCACATGGATGGCTAAGGCACATATTTGCATACAAATCATGTGATTCTGATAAATATTCATTTTAAACAGATTTAATTAATGATTTTATCTTTTGTAATTGTTATTTTATTTATGATGCTAAGTACCACATACTTTATAACCTGTAATAAGTAACACAGTTAAGATTAAATCAAATATGTCTAATAATTGCTTTATTAGAACATTGAAAATTTCATGAAACAAAAATAATAATTGTAATAGGATCTCACCTTGCCAGTGAATTTGTGTTAGTGGCCGCATCCCTTTGGGCATGGCTTCAGGTGTGGACATGACCACAGGTAGAGAAGCACGGGACTGCCTTTCTAAATATTGCTAACCATAGTTCTTACTCGATAACTGTTTTTGCAATATATAATTTTATTATGTTAAAGTTGAAATCTTTCTTTTTATTTAGGCAGAAAAGTGGAGATGATGGGGGATGCCCTTCTTTATATGTGTTTCTCTTATTGGTTGATGAATAAAACACTGTTTGCTCAATAGAGGCAGAAATATAGGCAGGTCTAGAGGACAAGGACAATTCTAGATAGGAAGGCAGAGAGGGCAAGCAAGGAGATGTCATGTAACAGAGAAAGGAGTAACAGGTCAGGACCCTTCTCTGATAATGTAAGACCATGTGGTAATACTTAGATTAATATAAATGGGTGAATAATTAAGACAGAGCTAGTCAATAAGAAGCACTAGCCATCATCCAACAGTTTAGTCTCTGGGTGTTTATTTTGGGTTGAGAAGGTCAGTGGGACATGGCAGGACAGGAAACTCCAGCAACAAATATTGCCTACCTATTGAAAATGAGATAATTTTTGTAACGTAATAACACACATTACAAATAGAAACTCATTCCTGAATAATTAGATGTATGTGTAAAAAGAAATTTTAAGGAAAGATATTATATTCATGTATATAAAATGCAAACATGAGAGACTGTGTCTGGGTGTCCTTTTTGGAAATCATATCCATGTGTTTAATAATATTACATGTGACTCCTCTCAAGTTTGACATCTATCCACAATTCGGATAACAAAACCTTTACTCTGTGATCCCGTAGATTTTTTCCAAGTGCAATCAACACTTCCATTTAATATAAAAATTGTAAAGACTGATTTTAATAACTCTGGGTTATTGCCTGAAAGTTCAATTTGTAAATGCAAGTTCATTTAACACACGGTTAGGTACATATTTCTCATCATGAAAAACAGGCAGGGATCATTTGCTTCTATGACACTACGGCATTATTCTACATATAGTTTGCATAGCTTGAATCTGTTTGATGGTGCTCTCTACTAACATGAATTTGCTGTCATTATACTTCTTGTTATCACTTTAGAAACTATTGTTTTGATTCTCTAAATTAAAAAAAATTCTCCATGTCCTTGCCAATAGTCAATGGCAGAGCCAAAGTCTGACTCAGGAGTGCCTTGACTTAGAGTTCCTGTACTTAACTCCTACAATATCTTTTTTCTTACTCAACAAATCCAAATGTGTGTAAGCATTAAACTTCTGAACACTTTACTCTCTCATGCACTTGTTATATTATTTCAAGTTCTTCAACAACAGTAATGTATCCACTGGAGCAATAATGTCTGTTGTTTCTCTTTCCTAAGAGTAAATAGTCAGATTTGAAAAATTCACATTTTAAGGCAAGAACTGAATGGTGCATGTGGAGTAACATGGAAATTTTGCATGATGTTGTGCAAAGTTATATTTCAATATTTATTGAGACAAAGCTATCATATTTAACCTTCTATGGACAGGGATGGTAAAATTAAAACACAGATGATCAATACTTTCTACACTTGTAGTCTGAAGACAATAAAAACCTTCATAACAATGTTGACATGTGAAATTATCAGATAAAATTTTCAGTTGGCAAATGCAAACATAAATTCAGACAAAACCGCAGCAAATAAATAAATCTGTGAGTTTTGAAAATGTTTGAGTTAATTTGGTGTATTATCCACTACATAATTGAGTTCATCTTGGATGTGGGAATTTTCATAGTTTTGAAAAGAATGTAAAAATTGAAAAAATCCCTTAATAATTATTTTATGCAAATTGGAAAATATGTTTGGTTGCATATCATTTTGGGAACAAAATAATCATTGGGTGTTTTTGAGGTAAGATAAAAATACATGCCAGAAAAGTACTTTTCTGTGAGCTTTAAAAGGTCTATGCCATGGAAAAGCATTGAATTGTAGCCCAGTTTGCATATAACTCATTGACAGGAGAGGTCTACACTGCTTAAAGAAGATTAATCATAGTTAGGCACATTCATCTTCCTCCTTTTCAGCTAACCAGTATAATGATCAGGATTATTATTTCTAATTAGAGGAAGTAATAGATCATGCATAACCCTAGGATGAGTCTCATTAATTAACTCAAGTCCTAGGGGACTTCAAACAGCAGTGGCTTGGCACTCTGTCTTTGTCATTGCTCACACCATAGGTTTACACTTCAAACACAATATCAAATGTAATGGAAATGTCAATTTTTAACACACAAGAACTTCCAAAATAATGAGAATAGTATGATGTGTCAACAAATAAGGAAAAAATAATAATTGGTTAATCTTTATTATGAGATATTTATCTTGACCCCAAATATTATGTAAAAATTTCTGAGTAAAAATATCGCTGAAGTATGAAAGAATCCAGGTTATAAGACTTCAAATCAATGACAAAGTAACCTTAATACTTAATATCTTAACCCAAACTGGTATGTTCTTCCGTACAATTCATTTACCCTGTTTACTTTCTAACTTCATGTTTGATAATCACCAATAAACTAAACATAAACACATGCACTATGACAAATACTTAGTATGCATACACATCTGTTCATTTCTTTGATCAGTTTTTATAGTGCCCTAATCTTATTAACTCTTTTCTAATTGTTCTTTATAATCTTATAAGTCCTTGTTTATGTGAAAGGTTATTGGTCTACAGTTTTAAGAACTACAACTTTTCAGTAGGGTGCAAGATGTTGGTGGTACATACCTTTAATCCCAGCACTCAGAAGGCAGAAGCAGGCAGATCTCTGAGTTTGAGGCCAGCCTGATTTGTGGATAGCCAGGTCTACACAGAGAAAGCATATCTTGGGTGGGGGAATACAAGTTTTCAACTGAGTTTACTTGTCCTTACAAATTCTATATTATAAATAATATGCAAGACAGAGCTGAGTAAGACAAATACCAAAAAAATTGGAGTTGTATATAGTTAAGGAAGACAGCCCAGAAGGTAATATACAGTTAACTAATTGAAATTGGCAAGATTGTTAGCCATTTGGATGTATGGAAAATGGACAACTCAAAGCACTCTCAAGAATATGCCTCCTGATCTGCAGGAACAAGAACTAGACAGAGAGAAGGCTAGAGAGAGATAGTCAACCTAGAAAGTTGTAAATAGTACTATAGAGAAGTAACAAGTACTCAGTGCTCTAAGTCCTAGAAAGTTTTCCTGAGCTCTTTTGATGTGAGCAGAAAAGGGATGTGATTCCCAGTCTATTTTAAAAGGCTCATTCTCGCTAAAATTTGTTTATTAGAGAACTGGTGGGCCGGTGCATAAGTACCATGAACAGTTAAAGGCTGTAGTATCAAAGGCTCACCGCAGGTCTTTGGAGGTGGAAAAATGTTTTGGGGAAAGAATCAGACTGGTGAAATGATGACTAAATGGATAGTTTCATGGGACTGGCAGTGACAAAAATGGCAGAGTTGACATCAACTGAAATGTTGAAGTGCTTGGGTGATTGTGGTTTGAGGAGAAATTCCTGATGCCCAAGAATCTAACACTACATGGGCAGACCAACAGATAAGTCTATAATTTGAGGGAAAGAATGATTATATTTTTATGTAAAGCATGTCCTGATGGTACTCTGAATAATAGAATGAGATGAGGTTACTGAAGGCCTAGGTAGGGAGGTAATGAACTGTCTTAACTCCAGAGTCTCACTTTTTAAATTGATAGTATTAGACTGCCCCTATGTCAGAATACAGAAGACTTCACATAATAAAATCTATTCAACATGGGGGAGAATCCAGTGTTAAAACTCTGTTTACTCATGTTTCTTATAGGAGACACAGGGTGCCTCGGATACATTTCAAACATAGAAGGTGGGGGACGAGCAGCTGAAG